TAAGATATTGTGTTGTTGTAGTTCATTAATGTGTTTGCATTATATAGATATAAGTATTTATCATTTTCTTAAGTATGAGTTTCTTCTTTTTTCAAGTATAAGTGTCTCAAGAATTTTTAATATGTTAAAAATTATTTTAACCTATTAATGTGTTCTTTAGCAAGGTTTTTAATTTATACATTTTTTAATTAATCAATTAAGTTCACTTAAATAGATTAAAAAACTTTTTAAGTCATAATTTTAATTGATTAAGAAAGTTTTAATCCATTAAATCATTCTTGACTTAGTTTTAAAAATTGTGGTTTGTAAAATTAAGCTGATACATGACCATGTTATCAGTTAAAATGTCTCTAAAAAATATCCAGAATTCTCTTAACTGATTAAACCACGTTCTTATTAGTTAAAACATCTTTAGAAAATATCCAAAAAATTTTTAATAAATTAAACCACGTCTTTATTTGTTAAAACGTCTCGAAAAAAATTGACAGAACCATTTTAATTGATTAAAATGTTTTTTATCAGTTAAATTCATTTTAATCAATTAAGTCACAAATTAACCAATTAATAATATTAGTCACTTCAAAATTCCTCTAGATAAACAGATTATCATTTGCACTTCAAAATATACTTTTAAGAAATCATTTAAGCAATCTTTTGAGATCTGTTCCAAGAGAGAAACACACTTTACTTTAGAATTCTTTGTGAAATCATTCTTGAGACTCTTTGTTAATACTCTTGAAGAAACTTATTTTGTGATTGGATTATTGTTTATGCATATTCACTTGATTGTTATTATTTCCTCAAACATCTTAATATTTCATTCTATTCTTTGTAATTTTGGTGTCTAAAATTATGGACACTTGGTTTAAGTAATTGGAATTGTGTTTGATGTTATAGGTTCAAGAACTTGGTTGTAGTTTTTGATGTAGATTATTGTTAATATTTGTAATCAATTAAAATTTTGATTAGTATAACTCAATTGGAATTGGTTGAGAACTAAACGTAGCTCAATAGATTGAGTGAACCAAGTATAAATTTTGTTATTCTTGTTCATTTTTCATTACATTCTCTTATTCGATATTGTTATTCTTTAATTCAAAATAAAATTGATTTCATTAAAATTTTGAAATTAATAATTTGTAATTAAAAGGTATGAAAATCTTTTATTAGATCAATTCAACTCCCTCTCCATTTCATATTTCTAACAATCTTATTTATTTCATTAACACGAACCCAAATGTTAATCTTCTTCTCCTTTTTAGTATAGGACAACAACAAATATGTTAATCTTAAATAATAAATTTTTTCATACAATTAAACTGAAAGTTGAAAAAGGTTTTTAAATAATCGAAATTGTGTAAAAAAAATATAAAGACCTCAATTACAGATAATGAAAAATTAAGGAACTAACATAAACAATTAAAAATTGCTGGGGGAAATTGCATGTTAAAGTTAGAGTGTTTGGAATTGACAATTCCAGTGTTCCATTGTACATTTCCTTGCCCGATGCTTTAGAAATTGCTGGGGAAATTGCATGTTAAACATTTCCATCATACAATTGTGGGCAATGTAAGTCATTTTCATTTATGTTTCTAAGATTATAATAATTATATTCAACTTATAATTAATTGTTTTAGGTACCTTGACAATTTGAGTGTGGAACAAGAAAAATCCGAAGTATACGGATTTATTGAGCCTCAATCCATCCAAAAATCTGGAAATACAAAGGTTGGAATCCAACAATATATGCAAACATGGATGAGTGACTCAAGAAGACATATATATTTGGCTCCATACATTGAAGGGTTAGTATTTTGATTTGTATTTTAATTTATATTTTTGTAACTAATTTTTATGTCATACAATGTAGGTCCCATTGGCAGTTAATTGTAATCATACCCGGGATTACACTTGTGGTATGGTTTTGTTCATTACATCGGAAACCGAGTCAAGAAATGAAAAGCTTATTACAAGGGTAACTTTATCTTTTATTCATTAATTATGTTTTTAAATTGTGAATACATATTGAATAATATATGACTTTTTTCACTTAGAATCGTGTGCTGGAACTAATGTTCTAAGTGGAAAACCTAGAACAAAGACATTGCAGTTCATTTATCCTAAGGTTAGAAACTTATTTATATAAGTGAATACCATAATTATTGTTTATATTTCAATTTTGAAAATAATATTATGTTTTTTTCATCATTTCAGGTGTAATAAGCAAACTGACTCGTTTGAATGTGGTTACTATGTAATGTATTGGATGAGAGCCATAGTTTGTGCGGGTTTAATTGATTCTTGGACTGGAGGTAATTACTTTTAACATTAGTTAAGTTTATTTAACTTTATTCATGTTGCATGCTTACAAGAGTCAAATTCATGTTTCAGGTATTTCAAGATCCATCTCCATTACCAGAATCCGAGATTACGAAATTAGAGAACAATGGGCAAAATTTTTTGTTCTACAATTCTAGTACATTATTTTTTATGTTCTTGTTCATATTATATTGTGTGTATTATGTAGTTTAGTTTAGTTTGTATAGGTAGCTTAGTTTGTATAGGTAGCTTAGTTTGTAATAGATTTTTTAGTTTGTATGTTTGTATTATTTTGTTTTATTATGTAGTTTGAATTATATAATATTATATTTTTAATTTACTAGCAAAAGAAAACTGCTTCGGACTGTCCTGGTTGTAATTTTTGCAGGTTTTAGTTGTAAAACGAGTAAATAAACCCAATTTAAAAAAAAACAGGTAAATTTATGTCGCATATTGGTATATACTGACGTAAATTTACGTCGCATATACCAATATGCGACGTAAATTTACGTCGCATATACCATATGCGACGTAAATTTACGTCGCATATTGGTATATGCGACGTAAATTTACGTCGTATATACCAATATGCGACGTAAATTTACGTCGTATATACTCGTATGCGACGTAAATTTTCTGTTTTTTTAAATTGAAAAGGTTTTTACGTCCGTTTATTGTATATGCCACGCAAAATTACGTCGTATCTTCATAACTGACGTAAATCTACGTCGGGTAAAAGGGTCCGACGTAAATTTACGTCTCCTCGCTTTACGTCGGACTTAAATACGACGTAAAAAGCCCTAAATACCTGACGTAAAAGCCCCTTTTTGCACTAGTGAAAATTAAAAATTGCTAATTTCATAAAATAGTAAGACAAATTTTAAATTAAACAAAAGTAAAAAAAGAAAAACTATGTATAGATAAACATGTAAATATATTAAATTAAAATGAATACGCGTAATAACATAAATTGTTTTTGGACTAAATTTCAACACAATATGATGCGATGACACGTCGAAAAAGGGAATAACAATTCCATAGTGTATATATTTTTGCTAGTGATAGAGATAGTGGTAAAGTAAAATGGATTTCTCGTTGGATTTATGAAACAAAACAGAACTCTTAGGCGTTGGAATGAATAAAGTAAAAATCATTGTCTTCTGGCTAACTTTGTCATATATTTGGTGAACTGAGCTTCAGAAAGACCAATCTTATTATAATATTAATATGCTTCACTTGAAATGATAATTACAAATTTTGATGTCATATAAGAAGCAAAAGTGATAATTTTCAAATTTAGACAGATAAAAACTCATTAATGTAAAAGTAAAGATATGGTTAAGCTTTTATCGTTGGACAAGAAATTAAGCAACAAAAGTGAAAGAAACAGAGACAAAACGGTAATCTAACTTTTGTCATATCAACCGACTCACATACACAAACAAAAGCATTATCTTTGTCTTTCTCTTTCATCTTCCTTTTCTTCATTTGTCAACGTGCACTTCCTAAATTCTAACTGTAGTTTTCATAAATTTGGATTATTTCATTGTCTAAAACCTTTTGCTCTGTTGTGGTGCCACCAATTTGAGTGAAAAGAGAAAGACTAAAGGACAATAGACCACAGAGAAGCAATCCCATGAGCACACATGATATTGTTGGATGGGGGTATACAAAATTTATTTGTATTATCTTATTTTCTTAATTGAAAGAAATAAAAAGTATTATCTAATGGCTAAAAAATACGATGATGTACTCCCAACAAAAAAAAGAAGAAGTTTGTTTTCCTTTTCAATACATCCACTTAAAATAAGCTATTAAATTTGAATCGCAAATGCTAAGATTAACACCACTTTACTGATATTGCCACCTCTTTTTTTGTTCAATTTTCCATTCTTATACTTTTTCATTTTGTAAACTATTTTTAACAGCAGTGTCTTTTTATGTTTCTAAATTTAATATGATATTGCATTAAAGAAGCTCCTCATCACATTCTTACCGTTTCAATAACGCTGCTCCTTTCCTCTCCTACTAGGAATCATTCTTATACTTATGCTATTAAGATAAAAACTATGCTTATCTCGTGTCTTTTAGAACATTGTGGATAAGAAGTTTCTTAGCCACATTTTAATATATACTGCCAATGAAAGATAAATATATGCACGAACTACCATTATTTGCAATCAATCACTTGCCACACTTACATCAATCACTAGTCTATCGAGGAAGCAACACTGCAGATTCACACACACCTTATCCCTTGATGAAAATAACCCAAAAGTTAAGACTTGTTCCCCTTAATTTAACCCTTCAATTCCCAAACTAAAAATCGACCCCTTCAGTCAGAAATAGAAAGAAAAAATTGGCCTCAACTCACAGCAGTGGGCCATGGTGTAGGGAGAATGTAAAATAGGGAAAAACAATAATAAATGTCAGGAAAAACAGTAGGTACTCTTGCAACTGCAAACCAAAGGCGGCTTCTTTCAAATGACCAGTCAGTGTTTCTCTCAAAGTCAATCTTTCCCACCGTTTCCTCTTTCCTTCCCCTCTCTCTCTCACCCAAGTCACAATCTTAAATCTTTCTTTTGCTATAAATTCAATCATCCCATCACAACCGACACTCGTTTTCCACCCTCGCGAATCGGTTTCACATTTGGAGAGAGATAGAGAGAGTGAGAGAAATCATGGAAGTGGAAGTGGTGGTTCCGGTGGACTTCAACTTCGACAGCAACTGCTCCTCCCCATTCATCACCGCCCCTTCCAGCCCCCAACGCTTCGGTAGCAACGCCAACTTCTTCTTCAGCGCTCCCACTAGCCCAACACGTGCCACTTCCTCCTTCTTCCACGACTCTCCCTCTCCTTCTCCTTCTTCCTCTGTTCCCTTCCACTGGGAACAACAACCTGGTCTCCCCAAATCCAAACCCAATGCCAACCACAACCACGATGATTTCGAGTTCAATTTCAGCGGACACCTCGACAGACCTTCCCTAACTGCCGATGAACTCTTCCACGCCGGGAAGATCCGTCCCCTCAAGCCGCCGCCGCGCCTTCACTCCCCTTCTCCAGTGACATCTCCGCGCTCCAGAAACTCGCCGCGCAAGAAGAAGGACTTCGACCCGTTCGTAGAGGCGTTGAAAGAAACGCGCAGAAGGAGAGAAGAAGAAAGAGAAGAAGAGAAGAAGGAAGCGCGAGGGAGGGAAAGAGTTTCGGTGGCTGGTCGTAAAGGAAGCAGGTCCTTGTCTCCTTTGAGGATCTCCGACATCGTGTGCGACTCCGAGGAGAAAAGCGTTTCTTCCTCCACAAGCAACTCGAAATATTCGTTCTTGTCTTCCATTCCCTTCACCAGAAAGTGGAGATTCAGGGATTTTCTGCTCTTCCGAAGTGCTTCCGAGGGAAGAGCTAGCGACAAGGACCAGCTGAGGAAGTACGTGGTTCTCTCCAAGAACGAAGATGTTCGGAACTCCAGCTTCCGGTCCACCGAGAGTTCCGGTTCGGTCTCCAAACGCCGCGGGCCGGTTTCGGCCCACGAGTTGCATTACACAGTGAACCGGGCTGCGTCGGAGGAGATGAAGAAGAAGACCTTCTTGCCTTACAAGCAGGGTTTGTTGGGCTGCTTGGGCTTTAACCCTGGTATGCATCACATCTCTAAGGGAATTGGATCTTTCACGCGTTCATAGTCCAAATATCTGGTTTGGATCTTGTTTTACTCCAATTTCTAAGGGAATTTACCTTTCATACTTCTACACCTTCTCATACTTTTCCATTGTTCTCTCCTTCCCTGCAAAAGACACTGAAATTTGTATCAAAATAATTGTACCATTCACACCAACATACATAATTCCATACTCACTCGGGAGTGTTTGTGGTTCAGTATATGGTATATATTTCCATTTCTTCATTTACCCAATCAAATATAAAATTTAATTTAATTGCCAAATCAAGATAATATTTTGTGATTTAATTGTTTAATTTATTATTATCGAATATTAAACATTTTATGTGAAAAATATGATTGATATATTTTTAATAATATTTTATATTTATAAATAAATTATATAATTTTATAATTAAATACAAATTTGTTTACACATTTTAATGTAATATAAATAACTAAACTATAAAATAATCTTAAAAAATTATATAATATATATATATATATTAGTTGATAATTAATTTTAAAAATATAATAAATAATTTCATTTTATTTTTATTTTTAATTTCAATTTGAAATCCGAATGAAATTATTGGAAAAAAACTAGATAAAAACGCCTATATTAATGCATGTTTTTTCTTGCTTTTATGTAATTTCTTATTCTCAATCTTTCAAATGTTTAACGAGAGTAAAATATTTTTTCGTAACTATGATTTTGTGTTAAAAATTTAACTTTTTTTAATATTAAGTTTCAATCGCTAATTTAGAAAAGGATTGTTTATTAGATAAAATTAGTACAGTTAAATTCAAATAATTATGTTTTTTTAATTATTGTGAATTAGCTTAAAAGAAGTATTTGACAATGACACCTAAATCACACCGTAATGAGAGATAAAAATATTCTTAATGATATGTTTAAAAATAAAAGTTGTGTGTGTTATATGTTTCAAAAAAATAAAAGTTTTACTTATCATTACACTTTTAATAATTGTTGCAGTCAATTGTCCAAATAACTAACAAATAATTTGCAATAGCTTGTAGTATTAACTATTAGCTTAGGATTAGATTTTCTTTAATCAATTTGATCTAATCTAAACAGATAATAATAAAAAAAAAAGGAAATTTGGAGTTTTTTGTCCATAAGCGTTAGTTTCTATCACTTTCTTTCTTTCTTTTTTCTTCATTTTCTCTCTATTCTCTAGCTTTAGTTCAAGCATTGATGTACGTTGAATATTTGTTTATTTACTGATTGTATAAGAGAAGAGTTTGGAAAGAAGCGTTTGAGTTTGAATATTAGATAGTGTATATGAATAGATGGTGAAAGGTACAAACGGAGAAAGAATGATAGCAGAAGATGGTTAGGGGTTAAAGAACCAAGAGAAAACGTGAACGTGGAAAGTATATAAGCATGAGATGAGAAAAAGAAGGAAGCTTTTGGTCTGATAATGATGATTAGGGTTTTGGAAGAATGATGATGGCAACGGTGTTGTACAGCGTAAATAAAGCGTGTGGTTGAAATGGGCACCCACAGTGAAAGTAAAGTAAAGGGAGAGAGAGAGAGAGAGAGATACCAAACTTGTGATTATTTGTCTATCCCTACACATTGCAATGATGAACAACACCTAATAACATATCTGAAATTAGAAACACAAAGCCTAATTATGTGGCGGGTTTTTGAATAAAAACAACTTCCCCTTCCTCCCCCACAAAACCCATAACAAAACAAAATGCTATTCCTTTAATTTTCACATGATTTATTTACACGTGTCCCAATTCTTATATTTATTATTTCAATAAAAAATTAAATAATTTTAAAGAAAAATAATTTTATTATACTTATTTATACAATCCATTTTACTTCTTTTTTCTTTGTTTCTTTTCAATCCAACATTAATATTTTTTATTTATATTTTTTTCCCTTCTAAAAGCATATTTTTATCTAACCTATTTCACTAAATTCTACATACAAAAGCATAATCCAGAGAAGCAAATAAAAAATAAACGTAAAAAAATTTGTTCTGAGCACTAAAAAGTCATAAAATTGTGATCCCAGGTGTTGTACTGTAGGACCACTGTCCCCAGCTGCAAAAGAGAGGACAGCGTGACCTTAACATACAAATAAAGTTAGGAAAAGCAGAGGACACGTCGTGCAAAATCTTAGACTTGGACCATGACTTTCTATTATAATAACAAATAATTTAAAATATTTCATACTAAAAAATTAAAATAATAAAATAACTAAATTATATAAGAATAATAATTTGATATCATTTACAATTTTTTTAATTAGAATTTGACTTAGGTTATTGACTCGATTGAATATTTTTTCAGTTATAATATTGATGAAATTACATTTTACAACTGTTAGTTATAATTTTTTTTAAAAATATATCGTGATATTTGTTTAGATTTCTCTAATTGACTTTATTTATGTTATTTTTTTACATAAATTGGTTAGAATTATTTTTTTAATATTTCAGTTGACATTAATTGAAAGTTTGAAAAAAGAAACTGGAATAAATATTTAAAAATAATATATAATTATAATTAATATCAATATGAACGGATATTATTAATAAAACATTTATTGACGTCAACTGAACTTTTTACGAAATTTTAATAAAAAAATAATTTTAACCAATATTAAAAAAATATCATAAATTAATATTTGTAATTCTTAAATGTTGTTTAATATTAAAATAAAATGTATATTTTATAATAATTCAATAGTTTAACTGTAGTTCCTACAAAGTAATGTTTTTAGCATTTTGTTGTAGTTGAAAATTTATGAAAAAAAAAAAAGGACAGCAAACATTTTAAAGATATTTTTTCCAAAGATTATATTTATTAGATTTAAAATATATTTTAACATATGACATGTATGTAACTAATTTTCATTTGTCATCGTGAAAATTTTGGATAAAGAAAGAAAAAGATGGATGAGACAGTTTAATACTGAGAAATCATTTTACGAATTTAAAGATTGAATCATGAATGAACTCAAATGAATAGCATGGTGCAATCAGTGATTGGAGGATATGATAATTGGCAGCAAAAGGTAAAAAGAAAGGAAAGAGGTGGGTTTTTATTTATCCATGCATGCATGTTCATGTGGTTCCGCAGTCCTTTTAAAGAAAGAAAAAGGGAAATGTTTTTTAGGAAAAGAATGAAAGAAAAGAAGAGCATGCAATTAGCCATGCATGCATAGCTGTCTTTATGTAAAGGGAAGTTCTGTCCATGGAAGAGGAACCCAAATGACAGAGTATAATGATGAAAGGTATTGCTTAATTATAGTGTTTGAAAATATAAAGAAATTGTTGGTTTAAACTCACAATTTTTTGTTGTTAGACTAAAATAAATGTTGATTTTTTTTTATTAAGGTAGTAATATAAGTATTTCGTTATAAGTATCATGTCCTTTATGTTAGAAATAATTTTTATATATTTTTTAATCTATTAATGTATTTTTTTAAAAGAAAATCGTCACATATTAAAGTTATAAAATGGACAATGGTCAAATATAATATTTTTTTCTAATGATATTATAATAATGTATAGATTTATCAACTTTATGATTAAGATATGATAATAGCAAGAATGTTTAAATAATCATTTTGTTTTTTTTTTCTTGAATATAATTTAAACAAGACTTTTCAAACGTATTTAAGACTTGAAAAGAAAAGGGTGCGGTCAAATTTAAGTAAACTGCGTATACTTTACTCTCTTGCAATTAATGCTGCATTTTCCCAATTTATTTCCTCTTCTCTATAGCTCAAAATTTCTATAAAGTATAGGCATAGCAAAATGTTATAATTTACCTTTAAATTTATATTAATTTATATCTTACAAAAATACTTATAAATGTATGATCGTTTCACTAAAAGAAAAAACAA